GGCGGGGGGGGCGGGTGGCTCTGCTGTCCCATGGGGACACAGAAGGTGTCCCCACACCCTCACACCACCAAAAACCCAAACCCCTCTGGATTTCACATCTCAGGGGGGTGGGCAGCAGTGGTGCAGGTGCAACAGTCACCGAGCAGCAGGGACTGTGACCCAAACCGGCTCCGAATCTGCCCAAAACTCATCTCAGGGAGGAGGATCTGCTCCTTTCCAGCCATCAGAGCACAAAGGGCATGGCCCCCCCATCCTGGGAGCCTCCCCGGAGGGAGGATGGAGGGATGGATGGAGAATGGATGGATGGAGAACGATGCTCTCCCCCCGTGCCGTCCCACCCCAGCGCTCCCCCAGCCACCCATAACTCCTGCCTCCTGGAAGTTCGTCAGGCACAGCGATTAAATGCCTGGCTGCTTAATGACAGGACGACACTCTCTCTCTCTGATCCGAGGAAGCAATTACCTTGAAAATGGGGGTCACAGGCCCCGCTCATTTACCTTAATTGAATTCCAATATCTGCCTCCAGCCGCCTGGGCTCCTGGCTGAGACTTAAAGCAGCTCATCAAAGCCAAGCGTCTCCCTCGCTCCCTGTCACTGCCAGGGATGCTCCTGTCACCTCCCAGCCCTCCGGGAAGGTGTGAGGGGCAGGCAGGAGGCCAGACAGCTCCTGGTGCCACCAGCCAACCCAGGAGACACAGTCCCATGCCCCCGACTGATTCCCAAGCCCCACCATCACACAAGCCCCACCAGGAGGGATCCAGCTGCAGCCGAGGCTTTTCTGCCTCCCCAAGGGCTGCAGGAGCCCAGAGCACGTTCCTACACTCAGCACGACCCACAAAACCAGAAAAATGTATATAAAAGCAAGTTAAACAGAGAGAATCAGAAAGATCCTTGAAGCTTAAGAAAGAAGCGCAAATAGTTACTCAAAAACAAAAAAAAACCACCTTGAAAATCAGTATTTCTTGGAAAACAGACACCAAAACCCAGAGGATCTCTGGAGCCACCTCCTCCCCAGGACACTGGTTGGGGACACCGATGTCCCAGGGTTAAGGCAGCTCCAGGAGAGAGCAGGTTTTGCTGTGGGGCTGAGACCGTTCCATCAGTTAAAAAGAGACATAATAATAAAAACTGTTAAGTCTTAAAAGCCACCCAAGATCTGCCAGAGAGAGGTTGGGGACACCGATGTCCCAGGGTTAAGGCAGCTCCAGGAGAGAGCAGGTTTTGCTGTAGGGCTGAGACCGTTCCATCAGTTAAAGAGACATAATAATAAAAACTGTTAAGTCTTAAAAGCCACCCAAGATCTGCCAGAGAGAGAGAGCCCGGTAAGACGGGAGCGGGTCAGTCAATGCATGGAACAACAACTCCGTCAAGTTTTACAGCACATTTCACATCAACAGCACACGCAGAGACATGCCTGGGCTCAGGGGGGGCTGGGAGGGCTGCCGGGCACCCCAAAAAGCTCCCCAGTCTTATGGAGAACATCCAATTTGGCTGGCGGAGGCTCCCGGTGCTGCATTAGCACCTGGGGGCACCTGGGGAGGGGGGGACTGGGCTGCCCTGGGGGTGGCTGCCACCCCCCGACTCGCTCGATGCTGGATTGGGGGAGTTTTGGTGGTTTTTGGGGGGGGCTGTGGGACAAGCAGGGTGCTGGAGCTGCCCTTCTTGAAGCCCGCCTGAGCGCAGGATTGCCTCTGGTTATGGTAAATGATAGGAATAAAAGGGGTATACACACGGTGAGAGGCAGATTGGGAAGTCCACGTACCCCGATGATAGCATTCAACTCCGTCATTGTCACTTGCTTGGCACGTTCAACAGCCTGTGCCACTTGCTGTTGGTGCTGTGGGGACAGAGGGGCACGGCCAGGTCAGAGCCAGGCTGTGGGGGCACCGAGCCGAGGCACGACCCCCCTCCCCAGAGCTGGTCACCCCTTTTTTTGGTCTATATTGTGCCCAGGAGAGCAGCAGGTCCCTGTTCCATGGGGTGACAAGGGACCAGAGCAGCCCTTCACAGCCTTTTTAGCTCCACAAGCCCAGCACAGCCCCCCCTCAGAGGGTCCAGCTCGCCCCCACCCCAAGGGTTTTGCAATGCACATACAGGATCTGAGCCCCATTTCTCCTGGGGCGCCCCACAGCAGCCCCACACCCCCAAAATATGGGTTTGGTGAGAGCAGGTCCATGGCCCCTTGTGAGACACCCCAAGAAGTGCCTTCCTGGGGAAACTGCCCCCCCCTCCCCCCCCCCCCCCCACCCTATTTTAAGGTATACATCACTCATGAAAGGTGTCAGATTGAGTGCATTAGAAACTGATGTTCTCTGCCCACAGAAACAGTACCTCAGAAGCCACAAAACAAGCTTTCACACACAGGTCTGTCAGAATATCCCTCCACCTTTTCTGATGGATCACCTTTAACAATAAGGAAATACATCGGTCTCTATGCTCACTCAATCAGTGGTTCCAATTAAGGTCATTTATTGTGTTGACTGGGGTACATGGACAACTGTTCCTTTGAAACTGGATGGAGGCCTCCAATTCATTTCATGTAGGCCACCAAATCGTCAGAAGGAG